GGCGCGTGGGCCGTCGGGGAGATTTATGACTGCGGGACTCTCACGGGCCGCATCCACCCTCACAACTAATGAATTATTATTCTCACAATAGCTCACAAAGGGACTTTTAACAGGATTCTGACACAATGTATGTCCCTCTTCTCCTTTTCAGCTCTTTCCTGCTGTGGTGAAAACATGGCCAGGTCACATTTCACACAAAAAAAAAAAACTGAAGAAAAATAATAAGCCGTTTTCCATTTTAAAAGAATATTACATTTAGATGTTCTGCAACATTTATTTTTTATTTTAATTAATTTATGTTTTAATTCATTTATTTTCATGTACATATGTTTTTTATTTTTAATTTTTATCATTTTTTTATTTCATATTTCATTTTATATTATTATTCTTTTTTGCATCACAGTAATAAAAATTTTGGAGTAAAATGTGCTTAACTTTCATGAAAATAATGCTAAATATTTATATAAATTATACTTGTTTTATTTTCTGTTTTAATTTTAATTTTAAATTACTAAAGTTATAGTAATTTTATTGTGTGTTTTTAGTACTTCAACTTAAACTAAATGAAAATGAGTAACTAGCTGAAATAAAGTGGAGGTTTTATATTTCATTTTATTTCAGTTAATGATTTATTTTATCTATTGATTGTTTTTTTAGTTTTTTAGTTTTTTAATTAATTTATTTATTTATTTTTGGTATTGGTTTTAGTTTTAGTTAATGATAATAACCCTGAATGGCCCTAAAGGCTTTATTCTTATGCAAAAAATGTTTAAATATATAACATATTTCTTGGCAACTATCTGAAATAAGTTTAAGTGTTTTTTTATATGTTATGTAATTTCAGTTAATGTTTGTTTTATTACAAGTAATGAAAATGTTTTTATGGTTTTAGTTTTAGATAATGATAATAACCCTGAATGGCCGTAAAACAGGCTGAATTTTTCAGCAATGTGTGTGTGTGTGTGTGTGTGTGTGTGTGTGCGTGCGTGCGTGCGTGCGTGCGTGCGTGCGTGTTT